ACACCGAAAGAAAAATACATCTATAGGCAATACCTTAATTGGAAACATGTTTTAGCCATTTTTTGCATTTACCGTACGTTTTATATTTTTAGTAGTTTTTTTGCCCAGGTAGATATTTTTAATTTCGTGAAAAAATATAAAGAACTTCTGCAACTTTTTCATTTTTGTTTGTGTAATATTGACTAAGATACTTTAATTATAGAAGCATGATATGTGAAGATTAATCATATAGCTGGTGAAACTTACCCAGGATTAAATGAAGCGTGAGTCCCTAACTTACATCCTGAAGATTAATCACAGTTGAATTTTGACTTATGCTACGGTAAAATTATTTGTCAACAAAAAAACATCATAATCCTCTTCCATAATTTCTCAAAGATCTAAAGACGAAAGATAGTCTTCATTCTTGCTTACCCGAATTGGTTATTCTCACCAACAAAGACAGGAAAAATTATTTGCAAAAAGCTAATTTCAATCTCCCCGCGATCTCTTCTTAATATGGCTTTGATATTACTGTTGTTTGTTAACAAAGAAATTTGAGGAAATAACAACGAAATGTTTACGGAAAAAAAATATTCACAATGCAGTCCTAACTAAGAAATAGAAAAATATGCTAATGACTTATCTGAAAAATCAAATCACAGAAAATAACTTCTAAATTCAAGTCACATAGAACTCTAAATTCATTTACTCTACTTTTATTCTTGGCAGAATAGAATGTTCAATGTTTCTCTTTTAAGATTTGGTCATTATCAAGATTGTTTATTACTTGCTCACATAATGTATGTGCATTTTGAAGCATTGATGATTATGCACGTTGTATAACGATGAACATAATAAGGTAAATCAATCTATCACATTGACGAGATGCAACAAGAAAAAATTAACAAACTATGAAAGAGATTTTCTCCTCATTTACATTTTTCTTAATCATGGGTGATTGCAAAGAGAGCTAGTGCTATGAAAAAAATTCAAAAGTTCTTCAAGGCTTTTAGAGATTACATAAACAAAATTTGACTTAGAGTTTGAATATATAGAACTTTTATGATGGAATTGATAAATTGGATCATAATTGAAGATGGTCATTCTACCTATCTTGTATGTTTCAAAAATTGAAAATTCATCCACATACTGATCGTGTGAAATATCATATGAAAAGAAATACAAAATATCCAATAATTTCTTAGGTTTATTGTTAGTATCGATAGAGTCAATCAACTATCGAATGAACCTTAATTAATTTCCTCGAGCCACTTTCAAGCAAAGAATATTACTAAGATTATTTAGTTGTTGAATTCCTACGAAGAAACATATAAATACATGTCTTGTTCTTTTTTTTATTTTATCAATGATATTAGAAATGGTACATATACGTGTGAAACTACTAGGCTATAAAAAAAATTAAAATTATATCACTCACTATGAAATAGTTGCATAATTTCATATCAATGATTTGCATTATTGAGTATCAAATTGAATTTTAGGGGGGGGGGGGGGGGGGTGAGTAACAACACAATAAAAAAAAAAAAAAAAGAATGAACCTTAATTTTCGTGAGCCACTTTCAAGCAAAGAATTATACTAAAGATTATTTAGTTGTTGAATTCCTACGAAGAAACATATAAATACATGCCTTGTTCTTTATTTTATTTTTATCATTCGAAGATATTAGAAATGGTACCTACACTTGTGTATGTGAAACTACTAGGCTATAAAACAACTTAAAAAAAATATCACTCAATATGAAATAATTGCATAATTCCATATCAATGATTTGCATTATTGAGCATCAAATTGAATTTCAGGAAAAAATAATTAAAGAGTCCAAATTCAGAAAATTAAAATATGGACATAAAATCAGGTTGAGTGTAATATAATACACTCTAATTAACATGATATATATCACTTTTAGGATCAACCAAATCAAATTAATTAGATTATAATTATAATGAACTTAAAGAAAAAGACGGTTCCAAATACATACATATACATACTCCCACTAAACAAATTAAAGGCCAAATTTCATCACGTAGCAGTGCCTAATTAATTAAAAATATGAAATTATAATCCAAAGTTATTCGTGTTTGGTACAATCAGTAGGCAAAAACGAGAGTTTGTGATTTACAAGATCATATCCAATAAGGAAATTCATTTGTGCCAAGTTTCCATAAATACTATATCGACCCCCCTTAACAATTGTCAAACAAGTCACATCTTCATCAACTTTTGAAAATGTATTCATAGGTAACACCTCGATATCAGCATCCGTGAAATGGAACACAATCTTAGGAAATTCGACAACACTTTTTGTCTCGTAACATATGGGAAGGTCGATATACGGGGGACTTTTTCTCCTCTTTCCTGCGTGACATAATATAATGATTAGATAAGTAAAAGTGTATATATACTTTAAAATAGTCACACAATTTAATTTTACCTTTAATAGTTTCCACCAAAGATAATTCGAATTTATCGTAAAAATACTCAGGGAGAAATGTCAATGTCGTCCCGGAATCAATTATAATATTTCCCAAAACTTCATCAGCATCAGAAGAGTTCATGAGTTGTGAAGACTTAAACTCTAACTTCTTACCTCCAACGCTAACACTTTCGAGATTTAAAAAGTAGAACATATCATTTCCAAATATATCAGGCTTCTTTCGAATTATGGGAGTTGTAAGAACGTTAGGCCCCGATACAACTGCCTTAGGACCAAAATTAATTTTACTTGTAGTAATGGGAGGATGATAAGATAGTGATAAATCACCATTTGGGACTAAACAATAAGTGAATTTCCCTTTAATTTGTTTATCAAGTTGATTAATAAAAGAGATTTTTGTATCTGCTAGTCCCACAATCCCAGCAGTACGATTGCTAAAAGTGCCATCATTATTATGTCCACAACCAAAAATAACATGTGGAATTGAAATATTATCAACCTTTTTAGAAGTTGAATCAAATGTGAATGTCTCAAAAGCAACATCTCCAGTACTATTAAGAACCATCACCATAATGCACTTCATATTCACAAACTTTTTTTTTTACACAAGTTGGCTTGCTTACTAGCTTACATTCCTTACTTTGACAATCAATTATTTTATACGTTGAGCTTTTTTGAGGATCGAAAAGGGGTAATATTTGCTTATAACAATGAGTACATGGCTTGCATTGTACCCATGTCAATTCACTCCCAGTGTCAAGACTTGCATATGTTTTCATTGGGGGCATACCGATGAAAATTTTCATTAAATAATCTCCGGACTCAGGAATGATGTCTGATTGAATAGCATGATTGACAAGTGTGGTGGGATGGATGGAGGCTTTCGTGAAGAAAGATGCTCGGGAGAAAGATCTTTGGAATGCATCTCGGAGGCGTTGAGAAGGGGTGATGGAAGGGTTACAGTAGGGAGAAAGAGGAGAATCGCGGTGGATAAGATCAATAGTGAATCCATCTAAACCATGGTTGGTTTTGGCTTTTCTACATGAAACTAAAGCAAGTTGAGAGAAAGCCAAAAAGGCTAAAATAGATAAAAGAAAAAAGACTTTAGAATTCATTTTAGAAGAGTGAATTATGAATAAGAGAAGTTGATAATTAGAGCCATTTTATAGCTAGGCAAAAAAAGAAGAATAAGAAGAAGAGTGAATGCATTAAGAAATATTAATTTGGTAAAGGGGAAAAAATGCACGTAAGGATATATATTACGTAATTAAATTTGATAAGCAAAAAAGGACATGTAATGCAGAAATTAGCACTAAATACAGAATATGAAATGGAATTATATAAATTGATTGCATAAAGATTTTCCATAAAAAAGATAAAGTTACCAATGGTTAACTGATTTTGTTAAGAGACATTTAATCAAGTGAAAATATTTTCAATTAAGAAAGCCTTTTATTTCATAAATCGAAGGATTTTAGAGTTTACAAGGCATTTACGTTAGTTTGGCCTTTGTTTAAGAGTAGATCATAAATAACTAACTAAATACTGTTAATATAAAAAAATTTAGCAAAAAGATACTCTCATTACACACTATCTAGTTTTTTGTTGTTAATACATGAGCACGACTATATTTTTAGGAGTCCGGAGTCGAATGGGTAACTTTTTTTCTTTAAAAAACATAAACATCATATCAAATAAAAAAAAATCAAAAGGGTAAAATTGCTGCCCCAGCGGCGATTTTGTCAAAAAAAACATTCTTAAAATCGCTGCCTCAGCAATAAATTTGTCAAAAAAAAAATTAAAAATCGCTGCAGCGTTTTTCTCTTTTCAATTTTTTATTTAAGAAAAAAAAAATTCAAAACTTTTTTTTAAAAAATAATTAAAGACAACGCTTTAGAAAACTTTGGAAAAAAGTTTTGGAAGAAAACGCTGCTCAGCAGCGATTTAAAAAAAATTAAAGAAAATCGTGATTTTAATTTTAATATCGACAAAATCGCTGCCGGGGCAATCAACTATCGAATGAACCTTAATTTTCGTGAGCCACTTTCAAGCAAAGAATTATACTAAAGATTATTTAGTTGTTGAATTCCTACGAAGAAACATATAAATACATGCCTTGTTCTTTATTTTATTTTTATCATTCGAAGATATTAGAAATGGTACCTACACTTGTGTATGTGAAACTACTAGGCTATAAAACAACTTAAAAAAAATATCACTCAATATGAAATAATTGCATAATTCCATATCAATGATTTGCATTATTGAGCATCAAATTGAATTTCAGGAAAAAATAATTAAAGAGTCCAAATTCAGAAAATTAAAATATGGACATAAAATCAGGTTGAGTGTATATAATGCACTCTAATTAACATGGTATATATCACTTTTAGGAGATCCCAGATCAAGTTAATTAGATTATAATTATTATGAACTTAAAAGAAAAGGACGTTCCAAATACATACATACATACATACGATCCCATTAAACAAATTAAAGGTCAAATTTCATTACATAGCAGTGTTTAATTAATTAAAAATATAAAATTATAATCCAAATTTATCAGTGTTTGGTACAATCAGAAGGTAAGAAAGAGAGTTTTCGATTTACAAGATCATATCCAATAAGGAAATTCATCTGTGCCAAGTTTCCATAAACACCATACTGACCCCCCTCAACAATTGTCAAACAAGTCACATCTTCAGCAACTTTTGAAAATGCATTCATAGGTAACAACTCGATATCAGCATCCGTGAAATGGAACACAATCTTAGGAAATTCGACAATGCTTTTCGTCTCATAACATATGGGAAGGTCGACATACGGGGGAGCTATTTTCCTCTTTCCTGTTAAGACATAATATAATGATTAGATAACTAAAAGTGTATATATATACTTTAAAATGGTCATACAATTTAACTTTACCTTTAATCGTTTCCACCAAAATTGATTCGAATTTGTTGTAAAAATTCTCAGGGAGAAATGTCAATGTCGTCCCAGAATCAATTATAATATTTCCCAAATCTTCATCAACATCAGAAGAATTCATGAGTTGTGAAGACTTAAACTCTAGCTTCTTACCTCCAACGCTAACACTTTCGAGGTTTAAAAAGTAGAATATATCGTATCCGAATACATCAGGCTTCTTCCGAATTATAGGAGTTGTAAGAACGTTAGGCCCCGATACAACTGCCTTAGGACCAAAATTAATTTTACTTGTAGTATTGGGAGGATGATAAGATAGTGATAAATCACCATTTGGGACTAAACAATAGGAGAATTTCCCTTTAATTTGTTTATCAAGTTGATTAATAATAGAAATTTTTGAATCTCCTAATCCCACAATCCCAGCAGTATGATTGCCAAAATTGCCACCATTATTATGTCCACAACCAAAAATAACATGTTGAATTGAAATATCATCGACCTTTTTAGATGTTGATGCAAATGTGAATGTATCAGAAGCAACATCTCCAGTACTATAAGAACCATCACCGTACTGCACTTGATATTCACAAGCATTTGTTTTTACACAAGTTGGCTCTCTTACTAGCTTACATTCCTTACTTTGACAACCAATTATTTTATACGTTGAGCTTTTTCGAGGATCGAAAATGGGTAATATTTGCTTATAACATTGAGTACACGGCTTGCATTGTATCCAAGTCAATTCACTCCCAGTGTCAAGAATGGCATAGGTTTTCCTTGGGGGAGTACCAATGGCAATTTTCATTAAATAATCTGCGAAATCAGGAATGATGTCAGATTGAATAGCATGATTGACAAGTGTGGTGGGATGGATGGAGGCTTTCGTGAAGAAAGATGCTCGGGAGAAAGATCTTTGGAATGCATCTCGGAGGCGTTGAGAAGGGGTGATGGAAGGGTTATAGTAGGGAGAAAGAGGAGAATCGCGGTGGATAAGATCAAGAGTGAATCCATCTAAACCATGGTTGGTTTTGTCCTTTCTACAAGAAACTAAAGTAAGTTGAGAGAAAGCCAAAAAGGCTAAAATAGATAAAAGGAAATATACTTTAGAATTCATTTATCCTTGGCAAGGATTTAAGGAGAACAATACGTTTTAGAAGAGTGAATTATGAATAAGATAAGTTGATAATTAGTACCATTTTATAGCTAGGCTAAAGAAGAAGAAGAAGAGTGATTGCACTAAGAAATATTAATTTTGGTAAAGGGAAATTAATGCACGTAAGGATATATATTACGTTATTAAATTTGCTAAGCAAAAAAAGACATGTAATGTAGAAATTAGCACTAAATACAGAATATAAAATGGAATTATATAAATTCATTATATAAAGATTTTCCATAAAAAAAGATAATGTTACCAATGGTTAACTGATTTTGTTAAGAGACATTTAATCAAGTGAAAATCTTATCAATTAGGAAAGCCTTTTATTTCATAAATCGAAGGATTTTAGAGTTTTCAAGGCATTTATGTTAGTTTGGCTTTTGTTTAAGAATGGATCATAAATAACTAATTTAAATACTGTTGATATAATTTTTTTAGTAAAAAGATACTCACTTCTCATAAGTTTTTTGTTGTTAATACATGAGCACTACTATATTTTCAGTGTGAAACCATTATTAGAGAGAATATTTATTGCGTAATCTACAATATATTGTATGTCATTCACATCAATTTATCCAATATTATAACTACATAAGATAAGATGAGTAAATTTAAAATGGGTAATTACATATATTTCACTAGTTTAGGTTTTAATTACTAAGACTTATAGTTTCAACGCAATAAACTTGACAACAATATGATCTAATATTAATGTTAATTTGATGTCCACACAAGGTATGAAATGGACATTTGAAATATTTAAAGTGTGGGAGTGATTGGATTATGATTAATAGTCAATAATATTTGAAGAATTTTAAGATATAATTTATTTCTTCAACACCTCCAAGATATGTCTTTGATGTATTTGACATGATAATTATATTTACAACTAGATAATTTTAACAATAACAGTGAGAATCGAACCCCGGTTCAACAACACTAAAAAAGTCTTAAGTACCCACCCAAGAGCCAATAGACCAATCAAATCATTTGTTCATTGGGTGCTCTATGTTAATTTTATACAAATATCTCTTAATTTATGTATAGTTATATATATTCCGAGATGAGGTTAATGGGTGTTGGAGCACCCGGCAGACTCCATGTGGGTCCGCCCCTGCTTCTTATGATAATTATAAAATTCATATAAGTTGGATTTGTAACATGTATGAAGGTATCATAAGTTTTGTATCAAAATAGGCTTGAATTCCATATTGGAATAAGAATATATTTATAGTATAAATGCTTGAAAAGAAATGGAATGGTGTAGAAATATGATTTTGAAATGTTGTGGCCATAACTGATTCAATCATTCTAAGCTATTGAAATAATGATGTTATCTGTGATACGCCTATGTGAAAGATGTGTTTATGATTTATATTAATTCTTGTAAAATTTAGTTTCAAAAGATGCATTATAATAAATGTGTGAATGAATAAGGCTAAAATCTTTAAACTAAACACAAGTAATGGGAACCCAACTTTGAGTTAGTATACACTCTAACAATACAAGTTCAATGGGTAATAACAAGTTACTTTGTGTTGCTAAAACATGAGTCTTCCTTTTAGAGTATTGATTCAACTGTATTGCATGTTGTTATGTGAGAAGTTGAGGATTTGTTAAATGCTTGATATAACAGAGGTATAGTGACAAACTCCATAGTGCAGACTGTTACACAAAGGTTGAATTAATTCTTAATAAATTAGTAAATGTCTACAGTAACAGGGACATAGTAGCTAATTTCACTTATTTGTATATTGAAGTGGTGCCGCTTCAAACAAGATCTAAAGGATTGGTCTTGTAAATATTGATGAAATCAGGATGAGCACATGGCCATAAACGTGCTAAAGCAAATACTAGGTTTCTAAGCTACAAATAATATTATATGTGTGATATTTTTAGTTTTGACACATGGAGTTGTGGTTCAAATCTTTAAGATACCAATTACTTCGTCTGAACTTTAAAGTACTTACCCTAATGGAAAGTTCAGATCTATTATAAGATACTCTCTGGTATGCATGATATTATGAGAAATATTACAAACTAGTGGGGGATTGTTGGATATTTTGTAATATATATAAAGGTCTTAAATTGAACAGAAACATTTGTTTGTGAAAGAACATGACTCTTATAAAAAGTTATATGTTCATGAAAGAACATGCCCTTATGAAAAGTCATAAGTTCGTGAAAAACATAACTCTTATGAAGACTCATATGTTCATGAAAGAACATGACTCTTATGAAGAGTCATCTCTTAAGTTTATAAATATAACGACTCTTTAAAAGTAGCCAAAGAAAAATCTGCATATATAAACATAGGGCTTTGTTGTATTCTTGAAGAGAATTGTTTGTATTTATCCCAATATGTATATGGACAATATCTGTTTAAAGAAAGTAATTACAGGCATCAAAGTCATCTTCTTCTTCAATTATATTTCCTACTAGTATTTTTCTAACAAGAGGTAAACAAATTCCAGAGTTGAATCGCCAACCTGTTTTGGAGGCAGAGCATCTGTTTAACGATTGATAATTGTGGTGGGATGAATGTAATTTCTCTATTTTTATTTAAGGGTCTCGATTTCGAATGTAGAGGCAAACCTGACAAACCAAGATTAGGTGAATAGAAAGCATACCGTAAATTTGAATGAACAGAGAGTGTATTTTCAACTTTAATCAATATTTTATCCAATCATGATTCAAATTCAAAGATTTAACTTTAAAATATCAACTGAAGTGTGGCTTTTTATATAAGGGAATACGCTGTTTAAATAGTTCTAGACTCTCTTTTCATTCTCTCGCAGCTGCTCTCACTCTAAAATTTCTCTCAAATCCTGATTACTTCAACATGGATTAGTTCTAAGCAGAAACTCGTTGCTTGATTGTTGAGTTTTTCAAGTTCGATTCAGTAAATAAGAACAATCGTCGAAAATTATTTTTCAAATTGTAATTCACTTTTGTTTTCATCTTGCATGTGGATTTTAAATTTGTTTTCTCTGATTATTTATGTTTTCCTTTACTGATTCTTTGCCCTAGACCTTCTATACCGAAATTAACAAAAAAATTGTGTGTTTATTCTTTTTGTTTTCGAATAATGGAGGAAAAAGGGAGAAACATGAGTATTTTAGTCATATCTTGTTCGAGATTGTTAAACAGTTAGTTAAATGCACTGTAGTGCACTAACAGAAAATGTACACCTGTCAGTCAATTTGTTAGAGTTAGTTAAATTAACTGCTTCAGTTTAGAATATAAATAGTGTTGTATAGATTGTAATAGCTAAGCTTTCTCATTCACTCATTGTTCATGAGTTCAATACAGAATTTTCTCTCTTCTTCTCCTTCAATCAGTCTCTCTCAAATTGTTATTTCTCTCCATTGATTAGTTAGAATTCACTGAAGTTTACATGGTATCAAAGCCGGTTTGAAGCAGATCTAGGGATTTATCTAGGGATTTTTTTAGCATAGATCGAGAGATTCTGCAATGGCGATCGGAGGATGAATCAGTGGATGAAATTCGTGGTGGAACTGGAGGAGCTGTATCGAGGGAAGGTTCGGTGATCCTAGATCACAATCACCCGCTCTACTTGAACTCTTCTGATGTTCTAGGAGCATTATCTGTTGGAATTCAATTGCTTGGCATGGAAAACTACACTTTGTGGAGTCGAGCAATGGAGATAGCATTGCTAGGAAGAAACAAGTTAGGTTTCGTAGATGGATCAGTTTTTAGGAGTGATTATGAAGGCGACTTGAAGAAGATTTGGGATCGATGTAATGCGATCGTAATTTCATGGCTTACATGTAATGTGAGCAAGGATCTGCTTAGTGGAATCTTATATGCATCAAGTGCACACAAAGTTTGGATTGATTTGAAGGAACGTTTCGACAAAGTGAATGGATCGAGACTGTATCAACTCCACAGGGGAATATTCACATTAACACAAGGAGCTTCCACAGTTTCTTCTTATTACACAAAGTTAAAGAGTCTATGGGATGAATATGACTCAATTTTGCCTCCACCAGGGTGTGACTGTCACAAATCTAAGGAGTTTGTTGAGCAAATGCAATATCAGCGTCTTTTACAATTTTTGATGGGTTTGAATGAAAGTTATTCGCAGGCAAGGGGACAGATCTTAATGATGAATAGTTTGCCTAACGTTAATCAAGCATATGCAATGGTGATTCAAGATGAAAGTCAAAAAGGAATTGCTGGAGTTGTTCATGATGGAATGGAACCTACAACTATGTCTGCTTCAAGACAAATTGGAACCAAACATTTTCAAAAGAAAGGATACAACAATTTCTATTGTGATTTCTGTCACATGAAGGGTCATACAAGGGATGGATGTTACAAATTGATGAAATGTGAACATTGTCATGCTACAGGGCATGTTAAGAGCAATTGTTATCAATTGATTGGGTACCCTGCAGATTTCAAATCAAAGAAGAAGGTCAATGCTGTTTTTGGAGGACATGTGCAAAATGATTCAGGATGCTGCCATGAAGATTTACAGAAGAGTGTTAATGTTGTCATAGGAGGGAAGGTGTGTGATGATCAAATGGTTACACAAGATCAGCTTATGCAGTTGATGAATAAAGCCACACCAGAATAATTGAAGCAGATGCTAAATGTACTAAACATGAATGCCACAAGCCATCCACATAGGAGTGCTCACATGGCAGGTAATCCTATGAAACTTATGAACTGGATAGTCGACTCAGGGTGCACAGATCATATGATAAGAAGTAAACAACACTTACATGATGAGATCATTGTGAGAAATGCATGAAAAGTGCAACTACCAACAGGTGATTCAGCTTCCATTTCCCATATTGGAAATGTTCAGTTGAATGAAGGTGAAGTAATTAGGGATGTGTTGTGTGTTCCAGCATTCAAGTTTAATCTATTGTCAGTTTCGAAATTGACAAAAGAATTGAACTGTTGTGTTTCTTTTTTTCCCATAT